TGATGTAAAGTGTAATATTTGTATTACCACCGAACTGCTAAAACAAGTATTTTTAGAAAATACAGGCCCTCTCGGGGTAAGTTCTTTTTTACCACTACACGCATTTAATTTAAGTAGTGAGTGTCTTTATACGATTGTACCTGTTTTTATAGCATTATGTATTGTTACAGCCTTTACGCTTTTACTTTATATGGGGGCCTACCAGAACCTATTAAAACAATATTAGTTTAACCTTACATTGACTTTTCGTACCATGACGGGCTTAAAGTAAGCTTACTATAATGTTAAAACTATGATGTTTTATTGGCAGCTTTGTGACTATTCATTCCATCAGTTCGTACTATGACGCTTTGACATTAAAATTTTATTGCTCTTATGTCAAATTTACCAATCTTAAAATAGTTACACGGATGCAATGGAAACAATATTATTTTCAGTTTTATTGTCTAAATATTGATTTGTAACGATGAAACGTTAAGTTGAACTTATTTATCTACATAGACTCTTCAATATTTTGTTCATTTGTAATTTAATAGTACATAGGAACTAATTTCTTCTTAAATAAAAATACGCGACGTTTATTTCGTAAAATTATGACAGCGACATCTATATGCTCCTTGGCGAAACTAACAGTTGATACTAGATTAAAATTCTGAATTCACAAAGTGACTTTCACGACTCGGCATGTTTTATGTATTTTTCTTCATGAAAATGCGGAAAAATAAATGAAAACAACGTAATTTTAATAGATTTAATCATTACATACTTTCCCTTTTTTGGCAATTAAAATTATCTGAATGTAAATAACAGAACAGAACGGAACGGAACGAACCGGAACGGACCGGAACGGACCGGAAAGGACCGGACCGGAACGGACCGGAAAGGACCGGACCGGAACGGAGCAGAGCGGAGCGGAGCAGAGAACCACCCACCACGCACCGCAGATCGCTCGAACACGCTTCTTTTGAACCTTAAATGAACTTTCTACGACTACTGAATTGCCCCACAGTATTCACTACCGTAGCTAAGCTCGGACAAAACGTAGCCGTGATACGCCGTCAATGTTAATATTAATATTAAGTAATTAATATTAAGTACTTTAACATTATACTACGATAGGACGATTCGGAACATCAAAAAAGAAAGAGATGGCATTATACAGTTCTTAAAGCGTTATTTCCTTCCTATTTTTAGTAAGGAATAGACAATATTAGGAAATCATTCGTTCTTTCAGTCACTTTAACTTTAGGTTTGTCATGGTACGAATATGAGTAATATTATAATAAACTTGCTATAAGCTTACATTGAAATAAGATTGATTTTTGTAAAATAGGCCCCCTGTTCTTTTCCCTTCCTGTGCCTTCTCTTTCTTAAGTCTACAAAAAAAACAGCCTCGCGCCTTCTATTTAATTATGCGAGACCGGCGTTATAACCTTAAAAAGTAATTTCTCGATAATATATACCTACTCTTTTGCCAGAGAAACCACGGATTATTTAATAGTTACTACGTAACATATACATCACTCTACACTCACACTCTACACGACAGTCTACTAAATCTGACTAATGATACCAGGCGCTCACTACGATGAAAAAGGAACCTAAGCACGCGGTCAAAGAGGTGAAAATAATGTTGCCCGCCGTCTGCAGTCATGCGGAACCGAATGCTGCAATTGTACAAGGATTGTACTGTAAATAAAAGACTTGTCTGAGCTCAGTGGTGCCTAACTTATCGCGTAACCTCGAGCGAGTGATGGAGCCCTGGAGAAACATCAGAATCCTACATGAAAGTCAGAGAGACGCAAGACAAAAGCCGATGTACCGAAGAAGCGTGAACGCATCTTTGATAATTTTATGACCAAGCCTCCATAAGAGTTGTAAGAGGTTATATATTTTATTAACGTGATAAAAGCATTATAAATTTGTGATAAAAAATAACGGAAAATATTGTTTGATTTTATATAATTTGTTAATACTCTCTTAATAACGTACCATTTTATGGGTAGCATAAAATGCCCCGATGATAATAAATAATATTTAGTTAAATTTGTTCGTCAAAGATTGGGTTTTGTTAAGTTAATCGTATTTCCATAAAAACAGGTTAACTCAAAAATGTCCGGCTAAAAAAGAGTGATAAAAATGTAAAAGACAAGTTTTCAATTTTTAAATTTATAAACGGGAGAGGCGACATTCCCCGGAAATGGCACAGTTGGCCGGGTTCGAGAACTTAGGTTCAAGAACCGGCGAACAATAGGTACCGTGTCAAGCAAGATCGCCTTATTATTATGGGGAATTCATTGGTGCACCTTAATGGGTGATTATAGAGGTAGTGTGACCGAAGAGCATAAAAGAGGATATCTCTTACGGTACCGCGAGCGTCCGCCAGCATACCGCAGAGTCCGCTGGAATGCCGCGGCATCCGCCGACATGGCACCGGTCGCTAGGATTTGATTCTTTTCCACTAGCGACTACGTATTGAAAACTCCACAGTGCATACCAGTAGCGCTCGGTCTCAATGCACATTTCAATTTAAATAGCACAAAATATACATTCATAAATATAATAAATATAATATAAATAATTAAATATAATAATTAAAATAATTAAAATAAAAAAAATAAATATAATAATTATCTGCTCTACTACGCAGAGGGTGCGATACCCGGACCGGGAGAAAATTTTTATGGTTATTAATTTATAAATAAATAAATAAATAAATAAATAACGCACACACTCAACATAGCCCCACACTAGGGAAACCCTGTGTCGCGGGTGCCATGGACACACACATAGACAACCACAAATTGCACCCAAACTCACGAGAGAAATAAATGTAAGCCATACAAACATTTCTCCCGGCCCGGGAATCGAACCTGGGACCTCTGCGTGGCAGTCCGGCATGGTAACCGTTCGGCCACGGAGGCAGTTATTTATTTTATTAATTTATATTATTTTTAATTTTTATTATATTTCACAACACCCGAATTGAACTTTAAGCTGTCGTATTCGAAACCGAACCGAAATGACGTCACACCCGTGTGATTACTCGCGCTTCTCGACCAGCAAAGGCTAACATATGTACGTTATTCAGAACAGTTATCGAATGAAAATTTCCGAACGTCCTGTTGCTTACAAAGCAAGAATGTAATATGGAAATCCCTTTTTATTTTAAATAAAGTCTGGATTTTGTTCAACTTTATTAATTTATTTTAATGCAAGGCTAATTGCATTCCTATATTTTAGGCCATTCAAGTCTTAAAATTGTCTATAAAAGAATTTTAATTTTTCTTATAATCTATTTTACCGACTAACCCCGTGAACGCTGTTGGATAACGATATCGAACGTTTTAACTCGAATGTTCTGAATAGCTCGGAAAGCGCCCTTCGATTCGAGAACGATGTGCAATCGATCGATTCGGTTAAAATAACGAAGAGTTCTGAATCGGAGTGCTCGTCCGGTTTGCGCTGGCCCTAAAGTTTCCTTTTCCAAAATCTATTCGCAAATCGCATCAAAGATAAAACATTTATAATCTGTTCAAGTAACTGGTTTAGCGTGGGCACAATTACGAAGTCTCCTACTAAAGACTGGCGAATAGAAAGTGATTAATAGCTCGCTAATCGGTGGTATACGTAAAATCGATTAGCACACGATGTGGAACCGAACGGCGTGCGAGCGTGCTAGCTTGACGGATTATCTTCACTCTTTAGTATAGTACACGGTAAGTTTGCACATAGAGCAGTCTTTTTAACCGACTTCAAAAGTAAGTTCTCTATTCGACTGTATGTTTTTTTTTGTATGTATGTTACTCATTAACGATCCTTTTTATCGGAGAGTCGGCAGTGGTCCCATTTAAATTTGAAGAAAATATTTTATCTGTAAGGGTGGTAAACTAGGAGATGAATTCGGTTTCGCGCACTTTCCGGTAATCGATTCCAATGAAACTTGGCAAATAAATGTAATTCCACGTACTTTTGAGGTTGTATTTTGAATTACTCTGTATTGAGATTATTAGTAACTAAATTCATGACCGTAGTCCAGTATTAGGATTTGCGCCTTAACCACATAAATGCAATATGACTATGATAGAGTGGAAACTTCATATACTCACTTATACACAATTTTAACTGATTTTTGTTGAAGCAATAAATATAAAAAAACCTCTTGCTTAAATTTTGAACATAAACTACCTTGAGGCTAAACATAATTTAACTTTACTAGCTGCGGAGGTTCTTGTGAAAGTGTTCGTCCAGAGAAGTAATGTAAGCATTACTACGTTCCGGTTGGAAAGGTAGAATAGAATATTTCACAATATTACAATTCAAAATACAATGTCTGGGGATAACGTGATCGTCACTAATGCAAACAATAATAATGTATATAAAATAAAGTAGTAAAACTGCAGCCTATCGAAGTACAACGAAGTCAAGTAAAACAAAATTACAATTGTTTCATAGGAACTTATCGACACTGTAGAATTCATTATCCTATAAACGGAGTTTTAGTCGGGTGTAAAAGGTTTCGTCGTTTGTAAGGGTGCTGGTGAAATTACAGGCACATGGGACTAGTCTATTTGTGTCTCAGGGTGACGGGCGCAGTGACACTGCCCCTGTGAATGGTTGCACATACGGCGACCTTTAGCAGCGATGCAATCGCGCGCTTGCATCACGTTTGTAATCGATCTAAAATTTTTGCGATTTAAAGCTCTGAATGGCGTTGTACCTGTTATGGACAGGCGTGTCGCTTACCACCAGGCGCACGACTTGCTCAACCCGTCACTTGGTATTGTTAAAAAAATCTAAACTCACGAGTCGAGTTCACATCGAGTTCTTGGGTTTTCGCGATTGTTACACATAGGAAATTGCAGTATTCTTGATCTCTCTAAAGCTTTTGACTTGGTGGTTTATAACATTCTCTGGGACAAGCTCGAGAAGACAGACGTACATACGGACCTGATAAGTGTGCTAAAGTGCTGGTACACGAACCAGCAAAATAATGTAAGATGGGGAGGGGCTTTCTCGGATGCGTACAGGTTGAAGTGTGGGGTGAGACAGGGGGTTTGTCCTCGCCGAAGCTTTTCAACATGTACGTAAACGAGCTGATCGTTGGAGTCAGCAGTAAGCCTGTCGTATGTCGTATCGACGGCATCAGTGTAAATAACATCAATTATGCCGACGATATGGTGCTGCTGGGTCCAACGGCGGGCTCAATTGCGGATCTCCTTCGGTTTTGTGAGCAATATACAAGTACTCACGGCCTTGTATATAATTGTGTCAAGAGTGAGTCTATGGTCTTTGGGATCCCCGGTAGAGTGATGTCTTATGAACCTAAAATTAATCTAAATGAGGTGGCGCTCAAGAGGGTAAGCAGATTTAAATATCTAGGACATTACTTGGCGGAGGATCTTAGAGACCAAACTGACATTGATCGTGAACGTAGGGCGTTGGCAGCCAGATGTAATATGTTGGCACATAGATTCGCCCGCTGTAGTGAGGAAGCCAAAATAACTTTATTCAAGGCGTATTGTCAATCCCTCTACACGAATGGTCTATGGGTTAACTATATGCAGAAGGCACTCGGCGCCCTGCGCGTTCAATATAATAACGGTTTCAGGATGCTGTTAGATTGCGGTTGGATGCCAGATAAATGATTTATTTATTATTTACTATTATTATGTCTAATATTAATGCAAATTTTTCACTATACTTACAAAAGTTTTTTATTAAACACATTATTTTAAATTATTAATACAAAGATCGAACTCTCAGAAAAAAATATTTTGATCCGGCTGGATTCGAACCGACGTCTTCTAGCATACCGTGCCAGACGCTATACCACCTAAGCCACAGAACGAACCAGTGGACCTCAGGAATTTTTTTTGAGGTCCGCTGGTTTCTTTCTTCACGAATGTACTTGTTTGTCGTGTCTTTGTATTTGGTTTTCCAACGGCTTTTTTTTAGCCGTAACGCCATCTATGAGAAATCAATGAAAGTATTTCGCCACCCAGTTTTTATTGAATTGATATTCTATTATTTTTTATGTGAAATTACGACTAGTTTTGTTAGAATTGAAGGATTTTTTTCTGAGTGTTCGATCTTTGTATTAATAATTATAACAAACTAGTGGAGTAATTTCACATAAAAAATAATTGAATATACAAATACGTTATTTTAAAATTTTCCAAAGAACATTTTTAAATTTACGTTAGATACTTGTTTTACAAATGATTTTATTTTAACCATACAATTTTTTATTAAGTTTCATTTCATTATTAATTGATAATAGTAATTATAATCTATTAAAAACTTTGCATTAATTAGGACTACAGAATTGTCTGCTTGAGATTTTTCATCGAGGGAAACACTGGATCCCAAACCATCTACTCTGTTGAAATTAGGAAGTTTTTTTTTAAATCGTTGTCCTCTCGCAGCATCCTCGGTAGATAAAGGACTTCTTTTGCAACAACGACCTGGGGTTTGTCGAACTTAATTAAATGTGTAGATTTATCCATGACAAGCACGCAGACTGCAAACAAAAATAAGTAAGGTGGCAGTACTTCTTTTACGAACAGAGCTTTACTACTACAAAACTTGCGTAACATTGGCCAGAAACACAGAGAAATCTATCTCAGAATTCATATTCTTTAAAAATATTCTATAATTTCATAATTTAATAAATAAATAATTTAATAAATTTATATAGATATTTTTATTTAAATTCAATAGGGTTAATCATTTGATGAGTGTAGTTTTAGAAATAAAATATTACAATATAGACTTGTACATACTACCTAGGCACCTATTTATCTACAAATTCATCAGATACTATATGGTAACTGTAGTCATGGTGCGTCTCACCTTTCGGTTTTCAATCATAGCTGTCCGGTAATTCGGGTGCGCTTTGATCAGTCTGCGACCAGTTAAACCTATTTAACCGTAACGCTGAGAGAAGCTCTTTGAAACCAATGATAAAAATTTACAATGAAAACACGCAACAAGCGCCGGACGGTACGATCACATAGTTCAATTCAAACACAGAGCCTATTTTATCAAGAATGTAGTATCAGTAAACTAGAGGCAGTCCCACTTTAAGGATTTCTTTTCATTTTTTGTTCTTTCTTAATAATATTAAGTGACGGGACGAACAAGTCGTGCGCCTCATGATAAGCTACACGCCTACCCATAACAGTTGCAGTGCCACTCAGAGCTTTAAATCGCAAAGATCTGAGGAGCACTGCCACTGCGCCCGTCACCCTGAGACATAAGTTGACAAGTCCCATGTGGCTGTAATTTCACCTGCACCCTTCTTACCCTTCAAAACTGGAACACAGTAATGTTGACATTACTGCTTGGCGGTTATTATCCGTGCTAGCAACAGTGGAACAATAAACACTTGAAGCTTACTTGTTGTTGTCAACCAATTGTGTTAGGACTGAACCATTTTTAGGTTGGTAAAATTTTTCTTCTTTAAAGTAATATAAAGAAAAGGTTTTCACAATAAAAGGTCAACAAAATACGAGGCGGAGCTGGCTACAATCTCAGCTTGCAAACAAAAATGTTTTGAAATTGAGGCGAGTTCGTTGTTATTACAATGCAAAATAATTAACTCTTATTACGATTCAATTAAGGGCCTAAAACGAATCGTTGTAAGACAGCGCTACATGAAGTGCATATCACCATCCCGCTTTTTTGTCGTTACAAACTTATACTGAACTGTAATAAGAGTTCATGGTAAGGCCCCTGGTGTTTTAAAGAACAAGCAGGTTTCCACAACTTTTTTCGTTTCAATACAACACAACTCAAAAATTACTAGACAAATTTGACAGTTACGTTTTCGAATAAACACCCTAAAAATCAGTCGTCAAAAGTAACATTAGCTTACTTCAGACTAAGTATTACGTTGTCACAATTTTCCCACTTCCTAAGTGATTAGCAAGGAAGGTTCAGCCCGAGCATTTTGTTAAGTAATAAAACCCATCACATCACATCATCAGCCTATTGCAGTCCACTGCTGGACATAGGCCTCCCCTAATGCACGCCATTTCGCCCTGTTCTCGGCTTGACGCATCCATTTCCTGCCAGCAATCTTCCGCAGATCGTCACTCCATCTGGCTGGAGGGCGTCCCACACTACGTTTGCCAAGTCGTGGTCTCCACTCAAGAACTCGTTTACCCCAGCGGTTGTCGGTTCTTCGGCAGATATGTCCAGCCCACTGCCACTTCAGCTTGCTTATCCGAAGAGCTATGTCGATCACTTTGGTTCTCTGTCTGATAACCTCATTACGGAGTTTATCTTTCAGAGAAACTCCGAGCATAGCTCGTTCCATAGCTCGCTGAGCGACTTTAAACTGGTGGACTAGCCGTATCGTGAGTGTCCACGACTCAGCTCCGTACGTTAGAACTGGTAGGACGCACTGGTTGAAAACCTTTGTTTTCAAGCTCTGCGGGATGGGCGACGAAAAGACTCGACGTAGCTTCCCAAACGCTGCCCAGCCAAGCTGAATCCTCCTCCTGGCCTCCTTCTCGAAGTTATTTCTACCTAACTGCAGAATCTGCCCGAGGTAAGTGTATTCGGAAACAACTTCAAGAAGGTGGCCATCGACGCAGATGGGTCTCGGATCAATGTGGTCATTGATCATGACTTTGGTTTTATCAAAGTTCATGCCGAGACCAATCCGCCGCGAGGCGGATGCTAGGCTGTTCAGCATCTGATCCAGTTCCTCCAGCGATTCTGCCATTAGGACTATGTCATCTGCAAATCGCAAGTGTGAGATGTACTCGCCGTTTATGTTAATGCCCATCCTTTTCCAGTCCAGCGTCTTAAACATATCCTCCAATGCAGCGGTGAACAGTTTCGGGGATATGACATCCCCCTGTCTCACCCCTCTGCGTAATTGGATAGGTTCAGACTGCTGGTCCTGTACTTGGACACTCATGGTAGCAGCATCGTAAAGACATCTCAACACTTGTATATAACGATAGTCCACTTGGCACCGCTGTAAGGATTCCAGGACAGCCCAGGTTTCGACAGAGTCAAAGGCCTTCTCATAGTCCACGAAAGCTAAACACAGGGGCCGATTATACTCTTCGGACTTCTGTATAATCTGCCTCACTGTGTGTATGTGGTCTATGGTGCCATATCCTCCCCGAAACCCGGCCTGTTCCGGTGGCTGAAACTGGTCGAGTCTTCTTGCGAGGCGATTCGTGATGACTCTAGAAAACAGCTTGTAGACGTGACTCAGGAGTGAGATGGGTCGGTAGTTTTTCAGTAGAGTTTTAACTCCCTTTTTAAAGAAGAGAACTACAATACTCCTGTTCCACGCCCGTGGAGTTCTCCCGCAGTGAATGACCAAGTTAAAGAGCTTCTGAAGTTCCTGGATAATAGGAACTCCTCCAGACTTCAAAAGCTCCGAAGTAACTCCGTCTTCACCGGGGGCTTTTCCATTTTTAAGCTGTTTTAGAGCCAACACGATCTCGTCTTGACTGATTTCTGGCAGGTCGTCGGTATAGTGGCGCGTCAAGGTGGCTCTCAAATCGTGATTGTCACGCTGGACCCGAGGAGCATTTACAGCGTACAAACGGCCATAGAAGTCCTCTATCTCGGCGAGTATCTGCGGCTTTGACGTAACGGTTAGGCCATCGTGCGTTGTAAGCTTCGTCAGGTGGCTCCTTCCAAGCTGCTGAGTGAATACTTTGGACCCTCGGTTTCGCTCTATCGCCTCCTCAATGAGGCGTGTATTGGAACTCCGAAGGTCACGCCGTACCATCTTCGCAATCTGCTTGTTTAGGTATGACCTCTCTGACGAAGTGGCCTGGATGTCATCGCGTCTTTTCGTCATAAGTCGCAGAGTCTCATCCGAGAGTTTAGACTTCTTTCCCGTACGCTGCAATTGACAGAATTTGATGCCCTCGCTTCTCAGCGTCCCAACCACGCTTTGTAGGGCCTCGTCAACGTCCTCGGTGGGTTTCAGCTCGACGAATCTCGCTTCGAGAAGTTCATGGAACTTCTCGGAGCCCGCCATGATCTGGAGTGGATTAGGACGGAGCGTGGACTTCATCAAGCGGCTTCTTTCAAGTTTGACATCGATATTCAGAGAGCCTCGTACAAGTCGGTGATCAGATCCGGTGCTAAACCTGTTGATCACTGAGACATCTCTGAATATGTGTCTCTTGTCCGTCAGGATGAAATCGATCTCATTTTAGTCACAGCGTCGGGGCTTCGCCAAGTCCACTTCCTTTGAGGCTTCTTCTTGAAGAACGAATTCATCAAGAAGAGTCCCTCGTGCTCGAGGAAGTTGACTAGCGTTTGCCCCCTGTGATTCCTTACTCCATAACCATGCGGGCCGACTCGAGACTCGTCAAGATTTGGGAATCCCACTTTAGCGTTAAAGTCCCCCATAACAACGTTGAAGTGAGCCTTGGTGGTGTTGTGTAAGGCTTTCGATATGTCCTCGTACATATCTTCTACATCGTCATCCGAATGTGTCGAGGTCGGTGCGTAGGCCTGAATGATCTTCAGGCTATACCTTTTTGATAGCCGAAGGATCAGGTACGCTACCCTGTTCGACAATAAAACCCAAAAAATATGAATTTTTCCTTGAGACGCTATTGACATAATAGTAAACGTGACAAGTAAAATTTGGATAGTTATG